TACAACTCTATCATCGTCGCCTGTTCACCAGAGATTTTTGGGAAGAAAATAAAATAAAATGATATGTTTAATGTTTAGGGGGGGGGGAGTTCAATGGAGATTTTGTAACAACGAGGGGAGGTAGGTTGTAGGAACCTGAAAAAACAATAATAGAGTTTTAATTCGTTCATCCATCCTACCTCACATGTCATTTTATTTAGACTAATCTTATAATCATCATTTTCTTTTTAATACATGTTAATTGATATTTTTTAATAATTTAATATTTCTATACTTTATTAGTGTTATTTGTATATTTAATTTATTTATTTTTGTTTTTATGATTTATAAATCTTTTAATTTTTTGACGTTTTGTTTGAATATATTTTTTAATATTATTTTTTATTGAAGTTTTGTTTGTTTATATTATTTAATATTGTAATTTTTTTAAGAAAATAATATTTTTCACATTCAAACACATATTAACTTAAAACTTGGATTTACATAGAACACAAATAATTATCAATCATCCAATATAACATTATCAGTGGTACAACAATCATGATGAAAATGTTTAATTTATGCATTGATTCATCTTTCATATAGAGTAGTCCATATAGATGCATGATTGCACTTGAAATAATTCCATTATGAACTAATCATATACATGGGGTCAGTGGCGGAGGCTCATGGAGGGCCAGGAGGGGCTATGGCCCCCCTGCTTTTTTGATTTCTAATAGCTTTACTTATGTTTATTAATATTCTAATCAATTCATTGACTAATTACGTTTCCAATTTTAAGTTTAATAGTGTGGGTTGTAGTTAACCATCATAACCAAAAGTCAAAAAATCGCTCACAAAATCAAAATTAACCTTCTTTCATTAGGAAATTAAGTAAGGACACTATATAAAAACAAATATCTAATTTGTTTTACCATTTTTTACACAAAGCTGAAGAAAGCAATAAACCCTACAAACTTATTGCCGCCGCCGGAAAAGAAATTATCAAACCTCACCAAAAGAATAACACCGTCGGACTAGCTCGTCTTCTTCGTGAACTCTTTATCTCCCCTCCACCGATCGCCAGAGTGATCTCCTCCGTATACACTCTCTTATCTCCGAGCGGTCGCCGGAGTACTTAACACTAAACTTCGTCGTGTGCTACTTCTGTTGCAGCTTTCTCTCGAGTCTCATCTGCCTAACTAAGCTGTATGTAGTGTCTTCCTTCTCTTTTTCTCTTCCTATCTTTCTCTCTATCACTATAAATGAAAAAGATTGTGTATAGTCAATACTTCCAGGTATCTAGTAGGTGATATGAAAAGACTACAACTGTAAATTTGCAAGACATTAGGCAAAAGATAGATATTACCTTTTCTTTATTTTGAAAAATCTGATAACAATAAAATATCACTTAAATGTATATTTATAATTTGAGAATGAGAGTGAAATAACTATTTTGTATTTTACTTTATTAATAATAAATTCACAGTAAATTAATTATGCAGTGATTGTAGATTGATATTTTTGATTTTAGATGAATTTACTATTTTTTTAAGATACAAACTTCTATGTTGGTTTTCATACAGAATATTCAGTTTTGTTGTTTGTTAAACTATATATGTTACTTGTTATTTTATAAAATTTAAGTTAGTTGTTATCAAACTATGCATGTTTATTTGATATTTTATTTTGTTGTCTGTTAATTATTAGTTAGCTTTGCAAGGAAGTATTATATAGCAACATAAAAAAACAATTATTGTTGATGGGTTTCTAGGAAGAAAACCTCAAAAAACTACTCACCAATGTGTTGGTTGAAAATTTCACACTGTTCTTGAGAACCGATCTAAAAAATATTCATCTTGTATTGTTATAGTTTTGAAGCAATTTAAATTTCTTTATGTAGTTATGTTTTGAACCATTTGATTTCGGCCCCCTACTTTCAATGTTCGTGTTCCGCCCCTGCATGGGGTACCATTCATCCAATGTTACTTTTACCAAATGACACCCATTAACAAACATGATTTGCAATATAAACGTGTTTAGAATACTTTAAGAAATATATCATCTCCATAATAATCGTTTGATATATGGGAATACAACTTTGCATAAGTTCATTGAATCTAATTCTTTATCCAAGAAACATGTAACATCCCATTTTCAAGACAAAACTTTCGATTTTTAATTTAAATAAAATAAGCCATTTTCATAAAGTAACATCATCAAACCATTTGTTCCAAAAGTTTACATCCCAAAAATCAGAGTATGATAAAAAATAAATCACAAAATACACAAGTTTCTGGTGTGTATGTACATTCACGCCTGCCTTCCCACAATCATCTAAAGTACCTGGAATATTTAATTCACAACTGTAAGCCAAAGCTTAGTGAGTTCTCCAAGTATCTTGGTCTACCACACAAAGCAGGATCACCCACAACTCACCACAAAATATGTTGACATATATGACAAACTGACAAATAAACCATCCAACAACACAGACAATTGTCTAAACTAGTCTACCTGTATAACAACTTAATACAACATGTTCATATCATACATAGGACTCATACTACACTCCACGCTACAACTAGAAGATCACTAAATCAATGCATGGTTGATGTAATCATAGATAAGATAAACAGTCGAACAAATATTCTACTCTAAAGCCACAGCCAAACAAGGAACATGCAAGAAACCCTAGATCAAGAATTCTCAGGATATTTTACATGAATACATAAAACCCTTACAACATTCACTTCGATGATCACCTATCTTATCATTGCTCTAACTAACTTACCATTACTCCTCTACATCCTATCATGCAAGGATATACATTGTAACATATAATATAGTGATGAAACTCACATTGGCTAAACAACAGAAGCTCAACATCAACAAAACAGCTAACGCAAGCTACCTAATGCCAAACCAAGACCGGTCCTTAGTTAAACACCTAACTATACTCAAGTTTGACCAAAAGTCAAACTGGTTAAAAGTTAACGGTCAACAGTCAAAGTTAACGATCAACCTTCCCAAACCACCACGCCGCGACTAGCTCCTGGCTACGTCATAGTTACTAGACGACAAAACAGTTGCGAGGCTACTCTACCCACCACGTCGTAGTAACGCATTCGCCATGCCACAGTTACGTCCAAACAACTTACTTTATTAAGCACTTAACCCTTAACGTCTATAGCCAAAAGCTCAGATCTAGAGCTCTTAAGGGACTTAATGGATAAAGTTCCTAACTTTATCCACTTTACCACCAATCCATGTCCCAAACTTAAACCCTATCTCCATTAAGACCTTGTAATGACCAAAACTTGTGCATGATTCACAGGGAACCAAGACTTATCACTCTTGTCATCAGATCTAGTCCAAGAATGGTCATCAATCAAGACTAAGGTTATGACGTTGTTTAAAACTCCAAGAATATTCCTCTAAAGGATTCAAAAGGACTCTAAAGCATGGGATGGAAACTATAAATGATAAATGTGGAAGCTTTATACTTTTCAAAGCTCCACAAGGTGTAAAAGATGCAAGATCTCCAGTCCCAAACACCTTTTTTTAGCAACAAGACCACCCACTCCTCCTTCCAATGTCACTTTCAAGCACACCCAAAACACACACTTAAACACTAAGAACATTCACACTTTCAAGCTTGAAACACCCAAAACACACACTTAAACACCAAGAACATTCACACATACTCTAGGGTTTCTTTTTGGGAAATTGAGGTTGGTAATGAGAGCAAACACTAATCACAAGGTTGTTTAAATAGGGCCCAAGGCCCGAAGCCTAGGGTTTTGAACCCAATTTCCACCACGTCATGGCCAACCTCGACCACGTTGTGGCCACTTTATTGAAGTGGCTGCGCCGTGGTGATTCTCCATCACCACGCCGCAATCATTCAAAACCCCAAAAAGTTCAAGACTTAAAATTATTAACCCAAAAGAATAATATCTGAAAAACGGATGTTACAAAACACGGTATAATAAAAACTAAAATATATTATATATTTAATATGAGTTTTTCAAGGATATAAGATATAAATATTCAAATGAGAAAAAAAAATCATTCTAAAAGCAAGAAGAAATTATTGGAAAAAATATATACGTTATATTTATTTAATTTATAAATATTTGAATATGTTTATAAAATTATAGTTTTTTATAGGGTAAATTACATCAATCGTCCCTCGTGAATGTGTCAAAACGCACGTTTAGTCCATTTTTTCAAAAAATTAACTCGGACAGTCCCTTGTTTGCTTAAAACTTGCACGCTTCGTCCCTGATATGCATTTTTGTTGCGAATGTAGTCAATGACAGATCTAAAATGACCACAATGCCCTTTGTCTATTTCTTTTCCAATTAATTTAATGTTATTATTATTATTATTATTTTTAATTTAAAAAAAAAAGAAATATGGCCCCACTCATCCCACCTTTTTAAAACTCTTAATCTAATATTTCTTTCTTTCTCTCTCTATCTCCAGATACCATCACCAGAAATACTCACCACCACCACCGTATATCTGAACCACCACCGAAAACATCTCCATTTCCTCCGATGTGCCACTGTTACCTACCACAATCTCACATCTTTGTCTAAAACCCTAAAAAACCACCTCAATCTTCGTCTCCATCACCATTTAAAGCTTTACTGTTCACAAACGCGTCACCTTCTTTGGAACCGTCACTTTCTCGTGATTGCCTCGCCGGAGAAGGTGACCTTTTCTTCAGATCTACACCACCATCGTCTCCATCGCCACCGCCTTCATCATCATGACTACTGCTTCGCCTGAAAACCTACTTCGTCTCGGATCTACACCATCTCAGATCTACACCTTCCTCGTCACTACTTGTTCACCTGAAAACCTTCATCTTCGTCACCACCTATTCGTTGGAGCTTACAGATCTCGAAGTGGTGGTTCGATGGACTTGCAAATTAGGAGATGAAGGTGGTAGTTCTTCAAAGCTCACAGATCGGGAGGACGATGTGCAAAATTTTTGTCTCATAGGTGAGTTGCTTTGAACCTTCATCGTCTCAGGGTTGGAACGTCTCCGCCTTCATCGTATCAGGGTTTCGATATGAGATTTCTTTTCGTCGCCGCCTAGGGTTTCGAATGCCACCAAAGGTTTCAGGTTTGGTTTGGTTTGTGTAAGTGGTAGTGGATGGTCTTTTCTGGTGGCAGTCGGTTGGCGATGGTTCGTGAGCTGTTGGCGGTGATAGGTGGAGGTACCAGAGTTTAAAGAGGGGATATGAGAGAGAGAGAGGCATGAGAGAGAGAGAGAGAAAGAGAAAGAGATGGAGAGAAGCAGTGGTTTCCGTCGGTTTCCGGTGGTAGTGGATGGTGGCCGAAGGTGGTTGGTGGCTAGAGTTGGGTGGTGGCCGGAAGTGACTGTAGTTGGAGGTGGTTGATGGCCAAAGGGGTTGGATCTAATTTAAATGGGTGTTTACTTTTATAAAAATTATACTTAATAAAAAATAATAGATAAGTTATAAACAATTGAAAAATAAATGAAAAAGAAAAAGAAAAAGGCAAGAAAGTCATTTTATGTATGCTAGGGACGTAACGTACACCTTTTAAATGATATGAGGGTCGGTCGAGTTAAATTTTCAAATTAGAGACTAAACGTGTGATTTGACACATTGATGAGGGACGACCGACTTAATTTATCCTTTTTTTTATAATATAGTGATAAAAATAACATTCCTCTATATATATTTGGCCCAACATGATATTAGATGTTGTCCTTTTTTTTTCTTGAAGTTAAAGGTTCAAGCGTCGATTGAAACATAGGTAAAATAAGAAATTATGAGTAATTTCAAGGTTGTCAAAATCGAGATCCTACGTATGATTGTTTTTGGGTTTTCAAGATCGGGATCGGGATCCTAAGATCTTACCAAAAAACATAATTTTAACTTGTAATTTTAAAATATGAAAAATATCTTAAACATTCAGTTTTCCGTTCAAAATCTATAAAAACTTCAAACATTAGTCACAACTAACAACATTTAATGATAAACGGTAAAATGGTAAAGGGTAAAAGACATAAAATAGTAATTTTTTTTTTCATTTAAAAAAAAAGTAATAATAATTCAAGAGAAGGTGGGATCGAATCAGATCCCGATCCTACGATCCTACCCAAAATACGATTTGTATACTATTCGGCTCGTTTTTCATACCTAAGATTGTCTGTTCGTATGACCTACAATCAAAATTACGATTTTGACAACCTTGATATATTTAATATCCAGTTCTAAAAGAAAAAATATCTTATTATTATTATTATTATTATTATTATTATTATTATTATTATTATTATTATTATTTTTCCATTTTTGAGATTTCAAAACGTAAACAATTAAACCAACATTTTGGCGCCTGCTGCCATTGCATCTAAGGTGTTGTTTGTTTTTTCGGAGACAAAATGTCTGCAGTCTGCGGATCACATATGCAAACCTCTGCTGTAGAAGAGGTGGACCAAATGTCTGCAGTCTGCAAGAAGAAGACTGTTTGTTTTTTAACATCTGCATGTTGTTAAAATATACTGAGATTTAGATATACCGGTTTTTTTAAACATAAAAATATTGCAAAAAGCTAAATTTTTCATCAACTATAACTTCAACGACTAAATAAAACATACAACTAATTTACAAATATAGTTTGGGGTGAGCAAAAACTGAATCGATAATTTTTTTGATAAAAACGCAACAAACCGAAAATAATAAACTGAAACCGATACAAAATTCGATGATGTGATGATTCGAAGGGCTAAAACTATGTTGGGATTCAATAATCAAAAAATTAAATGAACTTAGTTATTAATATGGTATAAATTATGATAATTGAAAAATAAAACTTCATTAAAATTTTTGATATTATATCAATGATATTGTTTCTATCCTAAATAACATAAAAAAAAAGTTACTGGATTTATTTACATTGCACAAAAATAAAAATATCTATAAAACTATGTCAAAATTATTTGGATAAATATATTATTTGAATAGAAAAACATATACATAATCATATACATAAACATTTGGGTTAATACATAATTATGATAAAAAAACAATAAATAAAGTAACAAATAAATACATAAAAGGAAAGGAGGATGACAAAAGTATAAAAAATAAAAAACGACACTAAAAATTACAAAAAATATTTTTTCTTTTTTAAAAGTTAAATACATATTGTGGAAGAGAGAAGAAAATGCTAGAAGATGTTAGAAGACATAGGTCCATATCTGCGCCAAGAAGAGGACGCGCAGACATTTTTAGGTCTACGGTCTTTTAAAAAACAAACAGTCTGCGAGACCAAACATCTACGCGTTGTCTGCGCGGCCCGGACATAAGAGATCACGAAGAGCTTTTGAAAAAGACAAATGCCACGTGAAATATGTTCTTTCTCGTGACGTGGAGCCGGCCTTGGGTGATCAATCATAATGCCTTTTCGAAATTACCAGCTTACCCTTTTCTTTAAGTCGCCGGCTGCTTATTCTTTTCAGTGATTTGCTATATATCATCCTTCAACTCTGTGTTAAACTTCACTTTAAGCCCTTTTGTAACAAAGCTGTTACAGTTTTTTGTCTTTTACATCATTTTTTTTTATTTCAATCAAGGGTTTTTTACGTCATTGTTGGATTTTAACCATTTTCCATCGTAAGTGTTACAAACTGGCAAACATCTTTATAAATAAATGGATCATTTCTATTATCTTTCATTTTTCTATGATTTATGTTTTCATAAGTGTATTTTTTTTCCCTTTTCTATATGTTTCTTATTAGAACAATCATATTTTTTTATAATATTAATGTTTACAACTATCCGAATACATTAATTAAAAATGTATAAGTTAGTTTCGGGCATATAGTTCGAAGCTAAAGATACATAATTTGTAATATGACATTTTAGATATCTTAGATATTCTACATGAATATATTAGTATAATGTCACTAGTTTTTCAGTTATGTCATATGATATTTTATGATTATTTTCACATTAGTATAATATCAATATTGTTCCACTGACACATCAACAGATATTTGTATTTTTAACAAATCTAATAGTGATCTACAATTGATAAGCTTCAAACATATATCCAATTTAATCTGATTTATTAAATATTTAAACTGTTTACAGACAAGATTAGTTGTTGATATGTAAATATATTTATATATTAATAGTTATATAAAAATAATAACTAATAAATCATAGTTTATTTTTATTTAATTGTTGGCCCCACATGAAGATGATCCTCCAAGTTGCAAACAACTTATGCAATGAAATTGTTGAGGTGGCATTTTTTGGCTTTGGTTTGCAAGGAGTTTGAAAGGCTGATGTAATTGAACACCCAAGTAGATATCTTAGATATTTACATAAACATATATGTATAACAAAAATGATTTTATAAGATAACGAATTATTATTCTTATATATATTTAGTTATTTTTATGTATATTTAATATTTTTTATTTAAAAAAATATTATTTTATTGGTTACAGGTTTAAGAAATATCATTAAACTCATATTTACTATTCAATAAACTATTAGACTGATGTTTTATACATAATTTACCAGTAAACTAACTTTTTTTTTATATATTTAGTCATTTTCATATTTTCCGATCATCATCAGTTTTTCGGTCATCTTTTGCATCCACATAATTCCAAAGAAGAAAGATAACATAATTTTACTAACCTTCATCTTTCCATTTACTACCTTTGACATTGCTCATGACGACATTTACATATTTCTCAGCTCCTCTCTCTTTCCTACCACTTTACGAAAATCACCAACTCACCACCCCTCTCTCTTGCCACTTTCTTTTGAATCGTAAGACATTAGTACCTCGCATCCGCTCACAAATTTTAGATTACATTCTTGGTTATCGTGATGAATGGTGGATATGGGTGGTGAATGGTGGTGATAGAAGGTGGTGTTTGTTGTTATGATGTTGGTGGGAGGTAGATGGTGGTGGTGAGACTAGATGGTGTTGTTCGGAGATGATGATCGAGACATATGGTTTAATGATAAATTATTTATAAAAATAGTTTAATAGTTAGTCGTATATAAAAAAATATCAACCTACAATACCCGATCAAACTAATAGGTTTTAAGCGGTTCCAATGAGTTTAATAATAGCTTGTATATAAAAATGAAAAATGACTAAATATATATAAAATGATAGTTTATTGAAGTCATTTTCTCATTTCATAAAATCCAAAACCGTAATTGTTATTAACAAAAACCTGTTATCACCGTACAATAATTTTAAATGTAGAGAAAATTGTTTTTGAAAAATATTATTTTTAAATTGAAAGTTTGAGAATAAAAAAAGGAATAGTGAACAGAGTACGGACTCATTGCGTGCATGGAACCTTGAATGGGTGTGAGTTTCTACACAACTCGTCCTTTTATCCTTTTGTACAAAATTTTCTATTCGCTAACATGGATAGGGCCCACGAAATACAGGGATCGTTCCGTTAAGTCTGTCGTAGATGAAGGTCTTTATCTGTTTCATCTACTTTTCACGAAATTCTCAACTTATATAAATATTATCCTTCGGGTTTTCAACAACTACAATTTAAACCCTCTTAATTTACCACTATCACAATATGTGTTTGATGTGTAAAAAAGAAATATACAAAAACGTTGCAACCCAAAAAATGAATTGTCTTAGAAAATCAATGGTTCAATTTTTGCTATTTAGAAATTCGGATTTTATGTTTACTTTGGATTTTTATATAAGATGGGTTTTGTTAGTTTTAACATAGTCTGAGATCATGGCACTCCAAGTTATAACATCATCTCTGTTAGACATTTCATTGAACAACTTCTGTGCATACTCCATTGCCGTATCTGCATACATGGACATGAGAGAGTCTTGAAGTGAAGAGATGGCTAGAAACTCCATTTTAATCATATACCCATGTATTTTTTGTCCTTCGTGTAAAGCTTTGAGTGTTCGAATTGTTTGAATTACAAGGACTAAGGTGGAGACATTGGATTCAAAACCTGTTGCTCTAGCTTCAAT